CCCTACCTCTCCGACCTTCTACTCCCCACCAGACTACCAACCGCTTCCGCTTGACGGGCTCCGGCCTTCTGCACATCCCTCGCTCCCTCCACTCCACCATCGGAGGCCATGCTTTCAGCCACTATGCCCCGAGACTCTGGAATTTCTGCTTCAATCCCTCCATCTTACCCCCTTGTTGCCCTTGTGGACTCCTGTAGCTCAGTGATTAGAGCACTTGCATTGCAAGCGAAAGACCTGCGTTCAATTCCCAGCAGGGCAAAATGTTGGGCAAGTTAACTTACTCCACACACCTCTGTTTACCTAGCAGTAAATAGGAACCTGGTTGTTAGTTGAATGGTGGATCACTTTTCCAGGGGTAATAATTCCTTCAAAAAAATTATTTGGTCACTCAATCCACGACTGTTTGTGGCACACTGCTGTGCACAATTGGCTGCCGAGTTTCGCCCACAAAATACATAGTCAATTCACTTGACAGTATATTCTGTGAAGCGCTTTGAGACGTCTCAAAGATGTGATAAGGTACTATATCAACTACAAGGATTATTATTACTATTATTATATTCAGATCTCACCTAAAGAAATTCCTCTTCAACTGCGCTTACGGTCACCTTCCCCCTCCTCCCCGCTCAGTGTCAGGCTCCCCCACCGTTAAGCGCTCCAAGGCACTACCCCATGTGAAGGTAACTGTGTAGCTGCATGGTGTTGTTGTAACGATTAATTTTAAAATAATGTGAGGTTAAAAATATGGCAGCAAGCGAGCTAGAAGAGGTCAGATCCACTGACTCAGAGAGGAGGGAGTGCCACCTGCTGGCGGTTATCAAAAGTTCCTCACTTAACATAAGGAACCATTTTGAAATTCCCACAAATTTTACTCCTGATGTTTCTTAACAGGTTTGCTTTGATAATTAGCCCATGGAATCTGTTTGGAAAAGTCGCATTTTATGGTTACAGGAGAGAGAGAGGTCAGAGTTTGGGGGAGGGAAATAATCCCATCAATGCTAACATAGGAACAGCTCAAGGCAATTCAGCCACTTGGGACTGGTCCGCCATTCTATTAAGATCATATCTGATCTGTACCTCAACTCCAGGTCGTGGAATATTCTCTGGAAACAAATTCCAAGGGATTCTGTTCCCTGATTTCCAATTCATGATTCCATCTCTCGCTCACGGCGTTCACTCGGAATAAAATACTGTTGGGGTCTCCCTCCATCTCAGGCCGTAACCATGGAAACCACCTCCCCTGACATGTCTGTCGGTACTTTAACGATTAACCCCAGTCACTGTGATCGCTGCTCAAACCCCGGCAGCCCAGGGTTTTCCATTTTAAACTCCAAGTTTACAATTTCCATTTATTGCCAATCTATAGTCAATCTGAGAGGCGCTCACCTGATCAATAACCTGCCACTGTAAAGGCCAAGCTCCCAATTCCCATCCTCCCATCCCGCACGCCCCCTCACCCCCCCCCCCCCCACACACACATACATATACACATATACACTCATACACACACACATACATATACACACATACATTTCAATACATATAGACACATACACAGACTCACGTATATACCTACAGACACACAAACATAGACATACACACACACAGACACACATAAGTATACACACAAACACATACACACAAATATATGGACACACACATAAACATATACACACATATACATACACACACATAAATACACATACACAAAAAGTACACACACATATATGTGCAGACATATGCATATGTACACACAAATAAATACACATATACAAACCTACACACACGCACATACATATTCACACGCACAAACATACACACACATACACTCACATTTGCACAATCATACGCACATTCCCAAACATACAACAATAGCAACATATGTGGGGCCCTTCACATCAAGAGTTACAGCGCTGTGACTTTGACGCTGATCAAAATAGCCGCTGCATTTGCCGAACTAAAAACAGCCACTACACTTGACAGGAAGCACTGAGAAGCGCTTTGAGATACTGGGCCATCGGTGAAGCTTTATCAAACACAATTCCTTTCTCCTTTCCCCCCCAATCTCTCTCTCTTTCTCGCCCCCCACCCCCCTCTCTCTCTCTACAATCTGCCAGTGCAGCCCAGCCAGTCCCAGCTCTGATCCTCCACTGTCCCCTTACGCTCAAATAATAAATTAACACTGGGAAAAACTAATGAGTTTATGGAGCATTAGGGGATTGAACTAATAAACTGCCTGATTTCAGTCTAAGAGAGAGAGAGAAAGAGCCAGAGAGAGTGAGATAGAGCGAGAAATACAGAGAGACAAAGAAAGACAGAAAAAAAGACACAGAGCGACACACTCACAAACATAGAGGGAGACAGAGATACACAGACAAAGTGAGACACACAAGCACATATACAGTCAGGGAGATATGGATAAAAACAGCCAACAACAACAAAATTACATTTGTATAGCAGAATGAGAGAGAGTGAAAGAGACAGAGAGATAGACAAAGAGATGCAGATATAAGAGTGCGAGAAAGTGAGAGAGATATAAATGCAGAGAATACAGACAGAGACAGAGATAGATACAAAGACACAGAGAGATATAGATACAGACAGGGAGAGATACAGAGACAGAGGAGAGATACAATAACTTGCATTTGTATAATAATAATCCTTGCATTTGATATAGCGCCTTATCATGTCCTTGAGATGTCTCAAAGCACTTCACAGAATCTATTGGAAAGTGAATTAACTGTTTATTTTGTGGGCGAAACGCACTAGCCAATTGTGCACAGAAATATCCCACAAACAATCGTGGATTGAGTGACCGAATTTTTCTTGAGGAATTATTACCCCCGGAAAGCGATACGCCATTCGATTAACAACCAGGTTCCTACTTGCTGCTAGATAAATAGAGGCATGTGGAGTAAGAAAACTTGCCCAAGGTTTTGCCCTGCCCGGGGATCAATCCCCAGTCCTCTCGTTTGGGAGGCAAATGCTCTAACTTCCACATTGGCTGACAGGCATCAAAGAGAAGAAGCTGTACTTTCTCTCCCTTCTCAATGTATGTGTGTGTCCGAGTGTGTATGTATATGAGTGTATGTGTGAGTGTGTGTATATTTGTGCTTGTGAGTGTGTTTTGTGTGTGGATGGATACTGAGAGCATAAGGTAATGGCTAAGACTTGCTTCTTTTAACACGTGGTGGGACGAAATTGAAATTGGAAGCATCTGGTCAGTGGCAATAACAGCAGGAGCGAGGTTACTTTTTTACAAGCCTGTCGCTTTAAAGGCAGGAGTGAGAGAGCGAGAGAAAGAAAGGGGGAGGGAGGGAGGAAGGGAGGGAATTCTGACTGGGACCCCCCAACACTCAACTCTTCACATTTCCCATCATGTCTGTGTTGGTGCTCACTCCCCAACTGGAGCTCTCTACTGTAATCCCACTCCATGCTCTCTCCCAATCGTGCCTGTGCTGGTGCTCGCTTCCCCACTGGAGCTCCCTGATGTGAGTCAATAGATTTCTCTTTGCCGGGTGGGAAGCCATCATCCTGCAGACAAATCCCATGGGAATCACAGTCTCGTCTTCTGTCTCCCCTCCCATCCCCCTCTTCCTGGTGCCAAGTGATGGCTATCTGTCAGACAGACAGCAGCAGCTGTGGGGAGGAGGAAGGGGGGATATTTGATCGGTGACAGGTCGGACACGCCGCCCACTCCCACGTGGCTCACATTCTTCTCTAATTTGTTTCGTACATTCTTTGTTAAGCAAACAGCTGCCTTCACTTAACAAACATTTGCGTCGGTCTCGCTCCCATACATTGGGAATCCCACCTCTCCCTAACATCAACTCTATACCCTAACCCTAATGCCAAACCCTAACCCCTGACCCTAACACCTAACCTACCCCTAATCCCTCACACTAATTCCTCAACCTAACTCCTAAACTTTAACCCTAAGCCCTAATGATAAACCCTAATAATAATAATAATAATCCTTGCATTTGATATAGCACCTTATCATGTAGTTGAGACGTCTCAAAGCACTTCACAGGATATACTGTAAAGTATATTTTGTGGGTGAAATTAATCCATGATTCCTCACCCTAACCACTAACCCCAATTCCTAACACCCTAAACTTAAACACAAACCATAACCACCTAATCATCACCATAACCACTAACCCCTCACCCTAATCATCTCCCTAACCCCTAACCCTAACTCCAGGTTAGTCTCAAAGCGCTTCACAGTATTTCACTTCAAATTAGAAGCAGCTGTGAAATCCATGCAATCTTTAATGTCCAATTGAACAGAACATATTGGGCCTCGGTTTAACATCTCATCTGAAGGATGGCACTACCACAATGTAACACTCCTTCCAGTACTGTAGTGGATTGCCAGCCTAGACGATGTGATTTGAAATCCTGACATGGGGCTTCAGCCCACAACCTTCTGACTATTGCACCCCCGCCACCCCCCAACACCAGATGAGAGCTCAGGAATTTCAGGGCTAGAGACAAAGCACGGAACTGGAGCCAGCCAGGAACTCACTATGAGATTGATTTGGTTCCAAAATGAGGTTTCACTTACAGAGCACCTTACACACATTATAACGTTTCAGAGCATTTCATAGTGATGGAGTTGGATGCCAAGCCAGTGATGTTGGTGGGTGGGTGGGTGGGGGGGAGAGGTGCGACTGAAGAGTTAGGTCTTCAGAAGATAGTTTGAGAGGGGAAGAGACAGGGAGTTCCAGAGCGTGGAGGTGCAATGACAGAAAGCACGGTCATTGAGCGGGGTGGGGGGGGCAACAGGCATCAGGTAAGAGCAGGTCAGAGAGGTCGGGAGGTGCTGTAGTGTGAAGGGAGCCCCCAGGATAAGGCACACAGTCCGAACACAACAATCAAAACACGACCACAAAACGCCCCCGCAAGACGAGGAGTCACCATCCTCTCCTCCCGGAGGAATTCTGCACTATTCCGAGAGGAATTCCACATTATTCCCAGAAGCCATGTTTTCCTACCTGTCGATGATGACGGGGTCAGAGGGCGTCTCGTTTCTATTCCCGCAACTCTTCTTGTCACAACATCGGCTGCGTGGGAGGAGGGGAGAGGGAGGGGAAAAAGTCACAGGGTCAAGAGAGCAACTCACATTCACAGTGCCTGGTCGCATCCAGTGTTCACAGTAACAACAACAACAACTTGTGTTTATATAGGCCCTCAGGCAGGGTAGGACCTCAGAGTGCTTTATGGTGGGTATGGGTACCCGAAGCCTATTATTATTGTTATCATAATAACAATAATAATTCTTGCATTTGATGTAGCGCCTTTTCTTGCTGAGACGTCTCAAAGTGCTTCACACAATATATTGTAAAGTGGATTGACCGTGCAGATTGTGGACGAAACACACAATAGCGTCCCACAAACAGTCGTGGACTGTGGAGTGACCACATTTTTTAAAGGATTATTGATACCACTGGCTCCAATAAAGAGTCAAATTCCTAACCAGCTGTTCTTTAAAGGCTTTCATTTCACGTAATCCTGTTCCAGTATGGTTTAACAGAGTGATGGGTAGTCTATTACAGGACAAGATTCTCTCCTCCTCCCACCCACCCCTCTCTCTCACTCTTACTCCCTCTTGCTCTCCCTAACTATCTCTCTTGCTCCCTCCCTCTCTCTCTTTCTTGTACTTCCTAAATCTCTCTCTCTCTCATGCCCTCTCACTCACACCTTCTCTCTCTATCCATCTCTCTTGCTCTCCAGTCCTCTTTTAAAACAGGTAGTTTGTAACTCACTCTGGGATCTGTTATTATATATAAAACCCCCAAACAACAACAACAAACAACAAGAAGATTCCATTTATTGAGCGCCTTTCACGTCGGGAGGACGTCCGAAGGCGCTGTACAGTTGGGTCAGGACCCGAGCAGGGGGGAAATGGTCAGGGTGAGGGGAGGGAAGGGAGGGAGCGAGGAGGGGGTAGAGAGTCGAGAGGGGAGCTGAAGGCTCGGTCAAAGAGAAAGGTCTTGAGACCGGCCTTGAAGGAGGAAAGGGAGGAGGCGGCGAAGGCACTGGGGGATAGAGTTCCAGAGCCTCGGGGCTGAGAGGCTGAAGGCCCGACCACCGATGGTAGGGCGGTTGGGGCGGGGGATGTGGAGCAGACCGGAGCCAAAGGAACGGAGGGTACGGGCAGGTAGGTAGGGGGATAGTAGGTCGGAGAGGTAGGAGGGAGTAAGGCCGTGAATGGCCTTGTAGGTGAGGATGAGGATCTTGAATTCGATCCTCTGGGGGATGGGGAGCCAGTGGAGGCGAACGAGGGTGGGAGTGATGTGGTCCCGAAGCCTGGTGCGGGACAGTGCACGAGCTGCACGAGCTGCAGAGTTCTGAACCCCTGGTTTAGACTCCAGCCTGGAATTCACTTGTGGGGTGGGGTCTGAACCCACAATAATAATAATCCTTGCATTTGATAAAGCGCCTTTGGGCCATTGAGATGTCTCAAAGCGCTTCATAGAATATAGTGTAAAGTGAATTGACTGTATATTTTATAGGAGAAATGCAGCAGCCAATTGCACACAACAGTGTTCCACTAACCGTCGTGCTTTGAGTGACCAATTTTTTTAAGGGAAACCGATCTGCCAATCAACTAACAACTGGGTTGCTACTTACCGCTCGGTAAATAGAGTTGTACGGAGTAAAGAATCTTGCCTAAATTTTCGGCCCGTCTGGGAATCAAACCCGGTCCTCTCGCTTGCGAGGCGATTGCTCTAACTAATACACTACGGGACTCCACATCTGAGCCAGAGATAGGCTGTGACATTCAGGTTCACTAATAAAGAGACTCTCTGTTGTACATAGTACTGCATCACATCGCATCGCGACAGCTACAGACAAAACGTTAGACACCACATCTGCACAAGGCAATTTCGTTGGAACAATCTATCAATTATAATGCAGATGAGACCCAGACTCCGCTAATATATTCAGCAAATGAGTTTACGTCTCAACTCTGATGTGATGAGAGCAGATTTAATCACGGAACAAACACGGCTTGGGGCACGACACCGTGTTCAGGGCATGTTGGGGCGGGTGGGGTGATGGGGGCGAAGGGGGAGAGGTGAGGAGGGAGGGATGAAATTCCACTCCCTCCAGTATTTTGAGAATATTACAGGATATTACGCTGCAAACTCCTGCAAATCTACCTAGCCTTATCTACAAGACCATTTAATTTCTCACCACCGACAGTTGTGGGTTCAGAGAAAAGCAGAGAGCATCAATGAATTTAAGAAGAAACTCGATGCAGACATGAGAGACAAGGCGATGGAGATAAGGTGAATAAGAGAGGGGGAATAAGGGGTAGAGGCTAGTCACGTTTCCTGTAATTATTATAATAAATAATAAAAATCATAATCCTCACATTTGATATAATGTCATGGAGACATCTCAAATCGCTTCACAGTATATTCTGTAAAGTGGATTAACTATGTACTTTATGAGCGATTATTGATAATAATAATCCTTACATTTGACACAGTGCCTTTCACGTCAGGAGGACATCTCAAAGGCACTTCACAGGATATATTGCAAATAACAATAGCAAAATAATCTTTGCATTTGGTACAGTGCCTTTCACATCCCAAACGAGTTACTGTGAAGTGAAGTCACTGTGTATTTTTAAGCAAAGTGCAGCCCAAATAGTGTACAGCAACATCCCACAGACAGCCATGAAACAAATGACCATTTTTATCTGAGGAATTGTTGGCCAGGACACCAGGAGAGAGAAACTGCCTTTTCTTTTTGAGTAGCTCTGGGATCTTTAACATACACCTGAGTAGGTCACAGATGAGAACCTCAGTTTAATGTCTGATCTGAAGGTCAGCACCTCTGACAATGAGGTGCTCCCCCCAGTACTGCACTATAGCGTCATCTTAGATAAAGTGAGTTCAAGTCCCAATGCAGGGCTTGAACCCACCATCTTCTAACGTAGAGGCAAGAGTGCTACTACGTGAGCCAAGCTGACACAATGGAGTTACTGTGTGTTTCTATGTTGCATTCTTGAAGTTGGTCTTAACTTGAAAGCTATATTTTAGGGAAGAGAGAGGCAAACCTCCAAATTTAACCTCCAAAACTCTTTCTCTACCCCCCCCCCACACACACCTTTCTCTTTCCCTCTCTTATTCTCTCTACCTGTCTCACTCTTTCGCTCTCTTTGTCTCTCTCTCTCTCTCTCTCTCTCACACTCTCTCTCTATCCCCCTCTCTCACGCTTTCTCTGTCTCACTCTCTCTGTATATTTTTGTGGAGTCTTGTAGCTTAGTGGTTAGAGCACTCGCCTCACAAGCGAGAGGCCCTGGGTTTGATTCCCGGGCAGGGTGAAACATTTCCTTACTCCACACACCTCTGTTTACCCAGCAGTATGCAGGAACCTGGTCGTTAGTCGATTGGTGGATTACTTTTCCGGGGGTAATAATCCCTTCAAAAAAAAATGTTTTTTAAATAAGAATTTAATTATTCAATCCACGGCTGCATGTGGGGCACTGTGTGCGCAATTGACTCCCGTATTTCGCCCACGATGTTTCGGGCATCTTTGTAGGCCACGCACAACAGACTAGGCTGCTACACTGTGAAGCACTTTGAGATGTCTCAAAGACATGATAAGGCGCTATATCAAATGCAAGGACTATTATTATTAGATTAGATTGTGAGAGAATTGAAGAATTTTGCCCCCAATTCGCTGTCACCTTAAAATTTAAAGATTAAACAACCTCACAGGTTAATCACGGGTGGAATTTCAATCCTCCAATGTTAGTCTGTCTGCTCACTTTTTCTTATTATTTATTCTGGTGTCAACCAGGCTCAGTTGGTAGCACTCTCACTTCTGAGTCGGAGGGTAGTGGGTTCAAGCCTCTACACCTGAACTTTGAACTCACAGTCTAGACTGGCACTCCTAGCATTGCAGCATTGGGGGGGGGAATGCTGTATTGTCAGATGTTGTCCTTCGGATGAGACACTAAAACTGAGGTCCCATCTGTCCTTATTCAGATGGCAGTTAAAGATGTTGCAGCCCTATTCGAAAAGAGAAGAGAGTTTCTCTCTCCTAGTGTCCTGGCTGAATCCACCAGATAAAATCATTCACTTTATGGCTGTTTGTGGGATAATAATAATAATAATAATAATAATAATAATAATAATAATAATAATAATAATAATAATAATAATAATCCTTGCATTTGATATAGCGCTTTTCACGTCGGGAGGACGTCCCGACGTGAAAAGCGCTATATCAAATGCAAGGATTATTATTATTATTATTATAGCGGGGATATTGCTGTGTGCAAGTTGACTGTCGGATTCACCCACAAAACACATAGTCACTTCCAAAATAAATTTCTATCAACGCTTTGAGACATCCTCCCAACATGAAAGATGCTGTATAAACTGCATAGATTATTATTATTAATAATTATAATTTTGTAAAAATATAATAATTTAGTCATTCAATCCACAGCTGTTTGTGGGACACTGCCGTCCGAAAAATTCGCCACATTTTCATTGAACCTAAATTGCACACAGTCCATAGCGGGGGATCAAACCCATGACTTGTAGATTGGCAGTCCAGTACTGTAACTGGTTCCTGTAGCTATTGAGTATTTTAATAATATAGCCATTGAGTGTTTCTCTTTTAGTTGTAATATCACGTGCTCCCTCCTTCGCGAACTTGTGTTCTAAAATAGACAGTGGTGTCTCTCAGAACTAAATATAGGCCCGTGAGCAGCCCGAGGGGGCTGTGAAATCTCTGATACGGGAAGAGAAACACAGCGTTTTGCCTTGTGTCTCGCTATACGCAACACCACACAGTCTAACTGTAGACCTGGCTATTCTGTGCACCTGTCTATCTGGGCCTATCGAAAGTGTATGCACAGAATAGGGGCTTAGTGCAATATGCCTGAATGTTGAGCGGCCATCTTTATAGGCCACGCACGACAGACTAGGCTGCCATGCTTTGTCTACTAAAATGGACACTGTTGCCTTGGAACCCTGGATAGGGCAGTGTAGAGGAAGCTTTGCTCACCATCTAACCAATTGTGTCAGCCTGGCTCAGTCACTAGTACTCTCCCACCTCTGAGTCAGCGGGTTGCAGGTTTAAGCCCCGACATTGTGTACATAATATGTATGTAATAGGCTGATGCACTAGTGCATAGCTGGGGAGGGGTGCTTTGTTTGTGGATTAAACATTAAACCAAGGCCTGTTCAAGTGGACATTAAAGATCCCTCAATGCTATTCGAAAAGATAAGGGAGTTTCTCTTTCCTGGTGTCCTGGGTTGCAATTCCCCAATTGCAAGCCAAGACAGGTACAGGAGTAGGCCATTCAGCCCTTCGAGCCTGTTCTGACATTCAATTAGATTATGGCTGATCAGTATGTCAACCAATCCTGTCAATTCCAATTTCCCACTTTTTCCCCATATCCCTTAATACCCTGACCTACCAAAAATCTATCAACCTAACTCTTGAAGGTGTGGGTAGATCCAGCATCCACAGCCTTTTGGGGGAAAAAGTTCCAGTTTTCTACTATCCTTTGAGTGAAAAAATCCTTCTTGATTTCACTCTTAAATGGCCTGGTTCTAATTTTAAGATTATGCTTCATTGCCTTGGCTTCCCCCACCAGAGGAAATAGCTTATTTGTATCTACCCTATCGAATCCATTTATTATCTTAAATACCTCAATCAAATCACCCCTCAATCTTCTAAACTCAAGGGAATACAATCTAAGTTTATGGAGCCTTTCCTCGTAATTTAACCCTTTAAGGCCTGGTAACATTCTGATGAACCTGCGCTGCACCCCCTCTAGGGTCAATATATCTTTCCTGAGGCGCGGTGCCCAAAACTGAACGCAGTCTCCAGATGGGATCTGACTAATGCTCTATAGAGCTGAAGCATCATTTCTTCCGCTTTGTATTCCTCTTGAGATAAAGGCCAATATTCCATTCGCCTTTTTGATTAATTTTTGCACCTGGGAACTAGTTTTTAGTGTTTTGTGGATATGGACATCCAAATCTCTTTGCTCCTGCACAGTTCTTAGTTTCTCCCTATTAAGAAAATATTCTGCTTGATTTTGTTTGGTCCATAGTGGATGACTTCACACTTCCCTACATTGAACACCATTTGCCACAGCTTTGCCCACTCACTTAATCTGTCTAAGTTACTTTGTAACTTTCTACTCTCATCTACACAACTTATTGAGCCTCCTAGCTTAGTGTTGTTTGCAAACTTGGGTATAAAACTTTCTATTCCTTCATCCAAGTCATTTATGTATATGGCGAATAGCTGCAGTCCCAGTGCAGACTCCTGGGGGACACCACTTGTCATGTCGCGCCAATCAGAGAACGTTCCCTTTATCCCTACTCTCTGTTTCCTGCCTCCCAACCAATTCCCAAACCACGTTACAAGGTTACTTCTGACTCCATGCGCTTTCATTTTTGTTAATTTTTTATGCGGAACCTTATCAAATACCTTCTGAAAGTCCATATAAACGACATCCATAGACACTCTCTTATCTACCATTTTAGTGACCTCCTCAAAACATTCAACTAGATTAGTCAGACACACCTACCCTTCACAAACCTATTCTGACTCTCTTTGACTAGCTCATACCTGTCCAAGTGTTCACTTATTCTGTCCCTGATGACGGATTACAGTATTTTTTTTATTTACATTAATTTTATTAAGCATTTCACTTTGACTTATTTTTGGGTTTCCCTGTATGGCTGGTATTTTGTCCTGTAAAAACAGTAGCAGAGTATTTATTTAACAAGTCAGCCATTTCCTTATTTTCCGTTATAATCTCACCTACATCTGTCTTTAACAGGCCCACATTCCCCTTGACCACTCTCGTTTGCTCTTAATGTATTTATGGAAACTCTTACTATTGGTTTTAATATTCCTTGCAAGTTTTTTTTTCATATTCCCTTTTTGCTCCTCTTATTACTTTCTTTGTATCCCTTTGTTGCCTTTTATAGCTTGAAGCTTGAAGGAGGCAAGGGAGGGGACGAGGCAGACCAAATACTTTTGTGAAAATTTCCCATTGTTCGTCTGGTTTACCCACTAACAGTTCAGCCCAGTTTACTGTGGTCAATTTATTTCTCATACTATCGAAGTTTGCCTTACTTAAATATAAAACCTTGGTTTGGGACTCTCCCTTCTCCTTCTCAAACCTAACGTCAAATTCAATCATATTATGATTACTATTTGCAAAATATTCTTTTACTGTCAGATTGCTAACTAGTTCTGGCTTATTACCCATCACCAAATCCAGTGTGGTCTGTTCCCTTGTTGGTTCTGAAACATATTGTTCCAGAAAACGTTCACTCTGGAATACATTCTAGAAAAACGTGCTCTACATTCTAGAAATGTGTTGCCTTTACTACCTGAAGTGTCCTGCTTCTCCCAGTCTATGCGAAAATTAAAATCTCCCATTATAACCACATTGCTTTTGCTACATGCTTCCCTGATCTCGGTATTTATACATTTCCCCACTACATCACAACTCTCTGGAGGTCTGTAGACTTCTCTCAACAGTCTTACCTCCTTTGCTATTCCTTAATTCTACCCAGTGTTTCCACAACCTGATCTCTCTTACTCAAATCTTTCGTTTCCGCTACTGTAATAGTGTCTTTCTATCAATATTGCTACTCTTCCTCCTTTCCCGTCCATGGAGGCACACTCCACCTTGCTAAGATACTCCAGAACTTTTGGGTCTTGTTTGACCCTCAGCCATCCTTTCTACCCCACTTCTACGCCTTGACCCGCTCTGCTTTCCCCACCTCCACAACGTCGCCCGGCTCCGATACTGTCTCACACCGCAGGCCGCTGAAACCCTCATACACTCCTTCATTACATCGAGGATCAACTATGCAAACTCCTTGCTTGCTGGCTTTCCCAACTCCTCCCTCCACAGGCTGCAGATCATCCAGAACTCTGCAGTCCATATCTTCTCCCGCACTAGGCTCTGTGACCCCTATTCTTGCCCAACTCCACTGGCTTCCCAACACACAGAGGATACAGTTCAAAACCCTGGTCCTCACCTTCAAAGCCCTCCACAATCTTGCTCCCCCTACCTCTCCGACCATCCTGTTCGCTCCCTCCACTCAGCGGGCTCCGGCCTGCTTCACATCCCTTGCCTTGCTCGCCCCACTATTGGCGGGCAGGCCTTCCGCCACTCTGCTCCCACCCTCTGGAACTGCATCCCGCAGTCCCTCCGCCTCGCCCCCTCCCTTGTCACCTTCAAGACCTACCTCAAGACCCTCCTCTTCTACCGTACATTTGATCTCCCTGCTTTACCCCCTGCCCTCCACCCTCCCCCACATCGATCCCCAGCTCGGGTCTGTAAATCTGTCTGTTCAGTGCCTTGGGATGTCCTCCCGAGGTGAAAGGCACTATACAAATGTAATTTTGTTGTTGTTCTTCTTCTTGATACCAAATGCAAGGATTATTATTAACCCCTGCTGTACCTGACCTGGGCAGAGGGCATAGAGTGGCCTATACTCTGTCTCTAACCGTTGCTGAAGACAGCTGCAGCTTGGGTTAGAGTCAGAGTGTAGCTCCCTAGCAATGACATCTTTTCTAATGACTGAAAATAAAATAGAGAAAAAATAAATAAAGGATATAATGGGTAGGTAAAATGAAATGTTTCATTTGATAATTATCACAATGCCAGAAAGCACCAGCACAGATACAATTGGGAAAGATCAGGGAATGGGATTAGAGTAGAGAGCTACCTGCACATGATTTCGTGTGTGAGCAGACAACGACACATCTCTGGATTCTTGTCTTGTCCTTCGTATATAATCGGCTGGAAAAGAGGGCGAGAGAAAAGCTGTCATTAAATTGGTATTCAACAAGAGAAGAGAAAGTCTCTGAATACAATGATGGTTAACGGTGACAATGAGGTCTAACTCGAGATGTAACAGAGAATGGGAGAGAGGGAAGGAAGGAGGGAAGGAGAGAAGGAATCTCCCAGAGCAGATACAACACACACGTTTTATAGACTCTGCCTCCAGTAGTGTCAGCCTGGCGAAGTGGCAGCACTCTCGGTTCCAAGTCAGAAGGTTGTAGGTTTAAGCCCAACATCGGGACTTGGAATAACATAATCTAAGATGATACTCCAATGCAGCACTGGGGATATGCTGCATTGTCAGAGATGCGTCCTTTGGATAAGACGTTAAACCAAGGTCCCATCAGCCTATTAAAGATCCCATGGTGTTATTTGGAAAGAGAAGGGATTTTCTCTCCCAGTGTTCTGGCCAACAATCCCCCAAATAAAATAGGTCACTCATTCCATGGCTGTTTGTGTTACATTTTGTGACATTTGCCCACAAAACACACAGTCAATCTCCATCGTGTTTGTGTTTATGCTGTCTCAGACCCTATGAAAGTAGCTGTTTTCCAATTCAGTTTAGTTTTAATCTAAGAACAGCTGAAAATGTAGTGTGTGTTGTGATAATTATTACATGGTCACTAGTATTTAACCTTGAGGATGGCTGGGTATACACTGTATCCCATTCCCCCTTCACCATTGCTGGGTAAAACCTGGTATGTGTGATAATAATAATAATCCTTTCATTTGATATAGTGCTTTATCATGTCATTGAGATGTCTGAATGTCTCGAGCCAGCGAGCGACAGGGACAGTCGAGAGCCAGTGAGCGGTAGGGCCTCGAAAACCCAGGTAAACCGAGCGGGACTCACAGAAGGTAAGTCAGGCAGCGGCGGGGAATCACAGGGCTGGTTTCCCAGGGATTGGGACCAGCATTAGGCAGAGCGGGGGCTGGGGTCCCAGGGATCGGGACCAGCGTTAGCCAGAGCGGGTCCGGGGTCCCGGGGATCGGGACCAACGTTAGCCAGAGGCAGGGGCCGGTAACTGCCGGCTGGGCCGGGGGTCTCGTGGACCTTGAGGTGAGGTGGGTGTCGTGGGAATCGAGCAGTGGCCATTACCAGTCGGGGGAGCCGCTATTTTAGACCTCCAGATTTTCCCACTTCCACCCGCCAGATTTGAATCACTGGCAGCAGCTACTACATAGTATAGTACAGGACAGGACAGCCTGTACCAGTGTCTCCCTCCCTCCCACCCTCATTTTGTCTGTCTGTCTGTCTGTCTGTTTCCCCTGTCCTTCCCCTGCAGGATGCTCATTGCTAACCACAATGAGTGCCCTCCCCCCTCTGCGCCAACTCTAGGTCCCCCAGCCTCCTGCAGGCTGACAATGTACTGCTAAACCCACCGCCTCTTGTCCCAGCATGAGCATCTTGGCTGCCGGCTCCGACCCAAGCTGGCCCTCCCTTAAAATAGCCCCCCCGCCGCAACTCTCCTGCCTTACCCTCTGCCATCCCTCCCACCTCTCTCTGAAAACTCTCTTATTTTACCGCCCCCCAAAATCCTCCCCCACCTTCATCTCTGACATCTCCACCCTCCTTGCTTCCCTCTGCCTCTGCCTCTGCTCCGACCGCCTCATCATCCTAGGCAACTTCAACCTCCACTTCACCCCCTCCTGCTCCATCTCCTCAGACTTCTCCTCTCTCCTCTCCTCTCTCAATCTCTCCCTTCACATCCACTCTGCTACCCACACCCACGGTCACCCATTCAACCTGGTGATCACCCAGGGCCTCAGCATCTCAGATGTCACCATTCACTGACAAGGCCATCTCTGACCACCATTTCATCTCCCTCAACTCCCATATCCCTCTCCCCATTGCCTCCAAACCTACCACCATCTTCTACCACCTGTGGAAGAAGATCTCCCCATAATCCCTCTCCCCTGCCCTGAAGTCCTCTGAACTCCTCCCCCTCTGGCCCATCTCTCGCAACAACCCACTCGCTGCACTCACTCTTCTCCACAGCACCGTCTCCACCACACTCGATGTCCTTGCCCCCCTCACCTCCCGAACTGCCTCCTATTCCCGATCCTCACCCTGGTTCACCAGCCACCTCCGCTTGCTTAAGGGCTAGGTGTGGTCTGCCGAATGCACTTGGCTCAAATCCAGCCTAACGGTCCACCGCCACATCTGGCTGGACCTCATCAAGACCTACCATTCCGCTCTCACCTCAGCCAAATCGTCCTTCTATTCCAGGTTAATCCTGGAGGCGAAGGGCAACCCCAGGCTCCTGTTCTCCACCACCAACTGGCTCCTCTGCCCTCCCCGACACACCTCGGAGATACTTTCCTCTGACTCTCACTGCGAGAAAATGCTAGACTTACTCGAGTCCAAAATCGAGGGAAACTTCTCAGCTGCCACTGCCCACCCAACTTCCACCCCCTCCCGACCCCCACCCCACACAATTACCCATCTGACAATTACCCATCTCTCTTTCCACACCTTTGAGCCTGTCACCCACTCCTCTGTCTTCAACACGATAACCTCCATGAAGTATACCACCTGCTCCCTCGACCCCATCCCCACCCCTCTTCTTAAATTCCAGCTCCACCTCCTTGCCCCACTACTCGCCGACATCATTAACCTCTCTCTGTCATCTGGCACTGTTCCTTCCCCCCTCAAAACTCCACTATCACCCCCACCTTGAAGAAACCTTCCCTCAACCCACCACAGCTATCCAGCTACCGGCCCATCTCAAATCTCCCCATCCTATCCAAGGTCCTTGAGAGAGTCGTTGCCTCCCAGCTTCGCTCTTTCTTCTTCTCTCACTCCTTCCATGAACCCCTTCAATTGGGTTTCAGTGCTGCCCACAGCACGAAACTGCTCTGGTCAAGGTCACAAATGACATCCTGACCATGTGTGACCAGGGCTCCCTCTGCCTCCTCGACCTCTCCACCACCTTTGACACCGTGGACCACTCAATCCTCCTGCACCGCCTCTCCTCCCACCTCAACCCTCAAGGTTCTGTCCTTGACTGGTTCAGGTCCTACCTTTCACACCGTCTCCACTTTGTCGCGGCAAACGGCTTCTCCTCCACTCCCCGCACCGTCTTGTGCGGTGTTCCTCAGGGCTCTGTCCTCAGTCCCCTCCTCTTCACCCTCTACATGCTCCCCCTTGGTGATGTCATCCACAGACATGGGGTAAATTTCCACATGTATGCGGATGATACCCAACTCTACTACCTCTCTGCTTCCACCCTCAACTCCAGGACTACTGGCGTCCTGACCAACTGCCTGTCTGACATCAAGTCCTGGACAAGGGCCAACTTTCTCCAACTCAACCCCAGCATGATCGAGGCCCTCCTGATTGGCTCGCGCCAGTGCCTCCACACCTCAGGCGCTGGCAGCATCAGCCTCCACAGCTGCACTCTCAACCTCACTAAGCCAGTCAGGAACCTGGGTATCTTGTCTGACCCTGAACTGTCCTTTCTCCCCCACATCCGCACCATGACCAGCACTGCCTACCACCACCTCCGCAATATTGCCAGACTCCGCCACCGCCTCACCCCTCAGGCTGCCGAAACCCTCACACACGCATTCATTATCTCAAGGCTCGATTGCGGGAACTCCCTCCTCATCGGCCTTCCCAACTCTTCCCTTCACAAGCTGCAGAATCATCCAAAACTCTGCAGCTCGTGTACTCTCACGCACCAGGCTCCGCGACCCCATCACTCCCATCCTCACCCGACTCCACCGGCTCCCCATCCCCCAAAGGAGCGAGTTCAAGATCCTCGTCCTCACCCTTAAGGCCATCCATGGCCTTGCCCCCTCCTACTTCTCTGACCTGCTGACTCCCTATCAACCTGGCCACTCCCTCCGTTCATCGGGCTCTGGTCAGCTCCATGTCTCCTGCCCGACCTACCCTAATCTCGGTGGCTGGGCTTTCAGCCTCTCTGCCCCCACACTCTGGAACTCCATCCCACGGTCCCTTCGCTTCGCTTCCTCTCTTACCTCCTTCAAGGCCGATCTCAAGACCCTTCTCTTCGATCGTGCCTTTGATCTCACTTCCACTTCTCTGCCTTCCCTCACCGCTACACCACCCCTCCCCCATGCTCGGGCCCCAACACCTGACTGGTCAGTGCTTTGGGACGTCCTCCCGACGTGAAAGGCACTCTATAAATGTAATTTTGTTGTTGTTGCTGAATGAGCTTCACAAGATACATTGTAAAGTGAGGTAACTGTGCATATTGTGAGCAAAATGCGGCAGCCAATTTGAATGCAGTGGTGTCCCACAAACAGCTATGGACTGAGTGACCAATTTTATTTGAGGGATTTGTTAGCCAGGACACCGGGATAACACATGTTCCCCCCCCCCACCCAGCCCCCTCCACTTACCCCCATCAGTACATCATTAACTAGTTTTCTCCCCTCTGAGGTGTCTGTGGGGAATGTCTGAGCTCTGAAGCTGTGCTGATGCAGGCTCTGTCATATACTCTCAGAGATATTACAACAGATGGATACGGATCAAGGAATGAATTGGAGAAGTTAAGAGCAAATTGAAAGCTATTAGGTTTATACACAGGCGGTGACACCCAGCTTATGAAGAAATATGGCTGGTTTCTCTCAGCTTAAGTGCACTGAGCACGTGCCCCAGCTGATCGCTCATTGTCCTGAACCGGCAATCTCTGTCTCTCATATCTATCCCTCCTCTACTTTTATCCTGTCCTCTCAACAAGATACAACAACAACAAGATTCCATTTATAAAGCGCCTTTCACGTCAGGAGGACGTCCCAAGGCGCTGCACAGTTGGGTCATGACCCGAGCAGGGGGGAAATGGTCAGGGTGAGGGGAGGGAAGGGAGGGAGCGAGGAGGGGGGAAATGGTCAGGGTGAGGGGAGGGAAGGGAGGGAGCGAGGAGGGGGTAGAGAGTCGAGAGGGGAGCTGAAGGCACGGTCAAAGAGAAAGGTTTTGAGAGCGGCCTTGA